CTATCAGGAACAGACTATACCCACAGAAACTTCAGCAGGCCAACACCACAGAAACTTCAGCTGCCAGATCCAATAGATTTTCGGGACTCAAGAATCCTAGTAAATGTTCAGGGAAATAACCTGCTTTTTTTTTTTTTTAGATAGAAAGAGGCTGCAAACATCCCAGGTACAGTGACTCAAGCAATTACCATTTCAGGTAAAACATCCATCCCAATGAGGATTAGGGTTTCTCAGGCTGGAAAGAGACAACACCTTTCTTTCAAAATATACATTTAGGTAACTCACAAGTTTGTTATTCAAAATAAACCTGTCACCATTTCTTGCTGAAGTACCCCCTTATCACCGCAGTGAAGCTTCCTGCATTGCTTTACTAGCAGGCTGCTCCACTTATGATCAGGTGGCATATTCCCAGTCATGAACTTCCTGAATATTGGTGGGATTGCTGCTTAAATAACAACTGTTTGACAGGAAGATAACAGGCACAGATTGACCATAGCAGCCTCCCAGACCCTGGCACTTTAAGAGCCAAAACTTAGTTTGGCTGTCATAAGCCTTCCAGCTGAAAAGCCCTCACCACTTGCTGCTCCTGAAATGGAGCAGTGCACATTTTGTGGCTGTGACATTCCTGCAGTCACAGATGTCATTCTGTACTACCACCTGTTACACCACTTCCTGCTTTAGCAGTTCCAGAGCATCTACACGAGCTATTTCACTCAGTCTCACTCTCCAATGAGCAAGTTTCCTTCTTCCATTGCACTGTCTCCCACAAAGAAAGCTTTCTGCCCTAGTAGAGGCAAGAGAAGCATCTGGGCCAGCAGCTTCCCAACTGGAAGGTGACAGATCAGCTGGATACCCATGGAGGAGCATGAACATGATAAGTAGGATGCTCTGCGTTCACAATACTGCATCACGATTTAAAGTTTCTGTGGTCTCTTCCAACCACGTGACTAAATACATCACTGACAGCTGTTTTCACAACCCATTCTACAGATTAAAATGATACCTGTTGCTAGTAATGAAGCTTAATATAATAGAAGACAACGTGAGAGGGAAACAAAATCCAATATTTACATATTACAGATACTTTGCTCTTCCTTTCCTCCCTCACTGCATCAATGCATAAGTTGCTAATAGCGTTATACTGGATTATTTGGCAAAAGAATTTTGATGTACCTAGAGACTTCCTGCGCTACAAACTCTGGTAAAAAAAAAAAAAAAAAAAAAGGAAGCCTTAGTGTCCTGCTAAGCAACGCTCTTCACAGATGGCTGCCAAGTATTTAAAAGAAAAAAAAAAACCAACCAAATCAATACTGCATACCTCAATTAAACTACCACAAGACAAAACGTGGTTCTGATTCTACTTCACGAATGTCTCTTCAGCTTGGACCCAATTAGTGAACAAGTGAAGGCAGAGGAGAAAAAGCTGAGTTTACATAATCAATACAGACTTACAGCCTTTCTTACAGTGAAGATCAAAAAAAAAAAAAAAAAAGCCTTTCTCTGGATAGCATTTTGGAAACATTTAATTAGCATACTACATAAAACAGGGTAAACCAGACTGACTTCACGTGTTTTACAGTGATTAAAATAAAGGAAAAAAAAAGTAACAGCAAAGAAAGTGAAGGTTAAGATTAAAAAGGCCTATGGGTAATGACAGGCTGAAGTTCAACTGTCATGTAACTGAGAATGTTTGAGAATGGACAACAATTAAAGTCAAGCAAAGGATGAAGCCCAGATTATTATAATGAGATATGATATGTTCTTCAGACTAGCTGGAGGTTAATGTTACTTAGTTTCATATGGTTACGGGTAAGTAAGTACTGCACTACTATACAGTAAAAATAATGTAGCTGGATACAGCGTGCTTCACAGTGACCCAAGGTTAATGGTAGTTGCTTTTAGTATATTTAAAAGGTTTAAAAGAGATATAACAACCTCAGCATCGCACATCTAGTACAATGGCACTAGAAAATGGCACTGAAGAGGCTAGCATAATACTGGTGTTCTCGGTTCCACGAGAGCAGCTTCCAGTGTAATGTATGTTATCTCTAATTATACTGAATATGTCCATGAATTCTTTCCTTCCTGAACAGCACCACCTTTTCAGTAATAGATCATTGGTATGCATCACTCTGATAAGGTATGACACCAATACATCATTAAAGCAACAGATGTATTAGTGTAATAGATCACGGGGACAAAGCACTCTGATGATGATGGATTTCTGAGAAGATGGCACCAGTCAGAAAAGACGAGGCCCAAGAGAAGACTTTTGCTCAGTTTAGTAGAATAAAACGTATGCTTTCCTGGCACAAAAATATGATGTTCTCTATAAAAGATGCCACTTTCCCCACACCAACCAGCACACGGAGTTGTACTTAACCACACGCAGCTCAGAAGGTACAGACCAGCCAGTTCCGTTCTGAGCTCTGTGTATCAAGCAACTTGAGACTTTTCACAGTCAGTGAATTACATCCCAGCTTGTGCAAAGCCAGATTGCTTTTGGGGAGTGAATCAAATAAAAGAATACATTCTCTGGAAAAAAGGCTCAGGAAGCTAAATTGTAGTACTCCAGTCCAAAAAACTGTAGTTTCTGAAAGCCCTAGGCTACTTCACTTAACCAGGATGTGTATCTGGGCAGGCAGTTCAGGCATACATTTCTTAGCACATACTACTTCAAAGAACTTTCACATATTTAAATTACTAAAGTAGCAAGCTGATCTATGAATCAAAGGTGAAGGTTGGGAACCATTAGTCCTCTAAAGCAGTCATTCCTTCTATTTTACCCATTTTCAATCCATTAAGTTTCTCACACAAGTTGCAACTGAACTTATAAACTAATTACTCTGAATTTTTATTTAGTAACAGTTCAAACATCAAGGTCCAGATTACAATGCCTTCAGTCATTCAGAGTTGTGCTTTATCTCCTAGCCTTCATAAAGCAACAGAGCATTCAGATTCAGTGATGATCACAGTCTGGTCCTAAATCAAACTGAAGTGAGCTGTGATAATGAGGACTTAGGAAATAATGCTAAACAACGAGAATATTAAAGGATAAAACCTGAACAGTTGTGGAGAAGAAAAAAAGAAAAAGCAAAAACAGTTAAAAGAAAGGAAACCAAAGAGACATGATTCCCTTGTACTGCTCCAGCATCCAGTTGGTTTCAAGATTTCAGAGGTTACCTTCTCAACTAGTTCATGAAAGGGTGTTTGAACAATGTCTTCACCATAAAGAAATCTAATTCTTCTCTAAACTTTCTTATGCTAGTGAGATTATCTAGACCATCGCATTTTGGATTTTATCAACCTCAACTGCACCTCCCCTCAGATTCTTCAGTCTTCTCCAAAATAATTCCAGCTTTTTTTAGTAAGTCTCCCTTCACAACACTGCTGCTCCATCCTCAAAAATATTTGGATTCACCTTCTCTGTATGTTCTCTAATCCCACTGCCTCCTTAGTGACATGAGGAACCCAGAGCTGCACACAAATGAACATGTGAGTGCATCACAGCTTGCATAGTGGCCAAAAAGTCACCTGTCTTTTGTACTCACTAACTTTCTTAGCTGTTTTTTGTTTATTGGTTTGGATTCTTTATGCTGCCACAGTGACTGCAATGTCTCTAACACCTCTTCCCCAAGGTCAGGAGCACCACAACTCACCTCTGAGTTCAGAAACGCACAGGGAAGAGCTTCACTGTTTTTCACTAAATCATGTTTATCTACACTAAAACCTGCAACCTGGTGCTCAGTGATGTCCTTATAGTTTTTATAATAGATGGTGCTCTACCATTATATGCCAGGAATAACAATAGAGCTCACAGGTCTGTAATTCTCAAGGTCCTGTACAGAGTCCTTTTGTTAAATGGAAGGTGGCCATTTTGTAGAGGGCCACCTGCTCACCTTCCAGCACAGCTGCAGTTCATTATGTGCTTTTATTCAAAAACTCACTCAAATTCACTACAATTACAAGCCTTTGAGAAAAAAAAAAATACCTGCATGGAAGAACTGTTGGAACAAGCACTAAAACATCAGAAAAATGCCAACATCACTGCATACTTGAACTTAGAAAACTCAAACTAGTGACTCAGAGAGCAAGTCCAAATCTAAGGCAGCTCAAAAGGACATTCTTCATAATAGCCAACCTCAGTTAGCCAGACAACAAGAGCCAAAATGGGGTCTTCCTCAGATCACTGGCATGTAGGAATCCACACAGCAAAAGAGAGAAATCTGTTCAAGTCAAACAGAGCTAAAACAAAGAAAGATGAGGTAGGGATTGCAAGAGTTGCCTCTGGTTGAGAAAAGCAAATGAACAAACAAGTATGAGGAAAACCAAATCAGAGTAAGACCCTCCTCTTTCCAACATTTAACCTTCTACCTACCATTGTCTGACCTTCACTTGATCCTACCAGCCCCTCTCCAAAGGCCTCATTTTGAAACCTCTAAGTAATTGGTGTTGTTGCTAGCTGAATTCTCTCCACCTGGAGCTTCCTGAGCCTGCAGGAGGAGAAGGAGAGGAGCAGGTGGCCTGCAAAGAGGCCTGATCAGGAGGGAGGCACAGCTGAGGCTGCCTGCAGCAGGTGGCATGGCATGGAGCCTGGCCCTCAGAGACAGCCCAAAAGTCTTTCAGCCACTAGCTGATAGGACTGTGGTATAAACAGCCATTAGCTGAATTAATTCAATAGCTGGGCTCCCCAACTTTGAACCAACCTAACGCTTGACTTCTGATACTTGCTGGGGGAAAGCCGGGCACCACAGGCATAGGGCTGGCCAGCACCTTATGGCCACGATGGCCACTAAGTAGCTACCTACTGGAAAAGCCTTAGGTTTTAGATTAGTCAGTGTCTAGTTAGCAAAAAAGAAACACCATTTCATTTTTTGAATTTAGCATAAAAGTAATTTAATTCTATGTCCGTCCATCCGTCCCCCCCCCCAATTCTAAAGACATGTCAAATAGTAACAAAAGTATTTTATGCTTGTTTTTTTTTTTTCTACATGATTTTATTTTTTTTTTCTTCTTTCTTCCTCTGTTGTCCTCCCTTCCCTTTAGCCTTCTGTGGTTAATACTCCATTTCGACATTAATTTCACCTCCTACAATTGGGCAATATCACACAGACAGTTTTCACTGAAAACCACTGAAAAAGCAAGGAGTGGAAAAAAATTAACATCCTTTCTCTAAGTTTTCTTTACATTGTTAATTTCCTGTTGTATTTCAATAACTAAAGATAAAAGAGGCACTTGATTTTACTTACATTTATTAACAGCTTTTGCACCTCTCTCCAGTGGAGAAAAAGGCTAAAAACCTGCAGCAGACAAGATATAAAGCAGTATGTTTTTAAAAAAAGTCTCTCAAGCTTTCCTCAGAGAAAAACCTCAAAACAAACTAACAAGGTTTTAAAACAGAAATTAACCCAGTGTTTTTTCAACTTTCAATTCACATTGAAAAAACTAAAAGATTCCCTCACACACACCTCATCAGTTCTAAGGAGAGACAAAAAGAAAGGCAAAAAATAAATCCGAACAAGCGAAAAAGATACAGGTGGACAACAACAACCAGCAATTTGAAATAATAAAATGATACAATGAAAATTGACTACTTCTTAAGACGTTCACTTTGAGTTCATGGGAGAGATGAAAAAAGAAAGCAAAGAAAAATGTTTTGGTGGTTGTAGAGAAAGGCAACAGCAAATAATCAGTTCCAAATTACACAAAAAAAAAAGGGAATGGCCACAGAGTAGTTAAAGAAAGACTTGCTTACCCATTCCAAAGATAATGGCTCCCCACATACTTCAAAAGAAGGGAGCTCCAGCTAGACACCCTTCTCTTATGGCAGCCAGTCCTTAAATAAAGCTTGGGGAGGGGTAGAAAGTGGTTTCACATGTAGTGCTTTCACCTGTGCTCCCAAGGCTAGCTGTGTCCCTTCACCAGGTGTGCAATCATTGGTTCAAGCCATGATTTAGCAATTCTCATGCAGTGGTAGAAGACAACTACCTGCAGTCTTTTGTTATCTCACAGAATAGCTTCTACTGAGATGGAACTACCTAAGGAGGACAGGAGATTTATCTTATTTGAGTCTGACTCTTACATCCCAGATCAAAGCTGAAGACTGCTGTGTATAGTTGCTTTTAAAAGCAAAATCAGGCCTATAGAATATGCTGCAAATGGGAAACTCAGCTCTACCTATCCTGGTAGAATTTCTGTCCTTTCAGATACCAGTTGAAAGCTCAGATGAGGAATGCCACCTTGGAGAATTTCCATCTCTTTTTGTGGTTTGTAATGAGCACAGGTTGATTGTTATCCTTTCTGTTTCCCAAGAGACACTAAGGATATGTAAACAAGTTCAAGCATCTGTAAACACAAAAGTTTCTGGAAACCTGTGGTAAAGGTGGCCATTTTGCCAGACTTACCCTTTGCATCCTGTAGTTCTCAACACTGTCCTTCCAATAACATTCCCTGAAGTATTCATAGAATGATTTTAAAGGATGAAAGAGTGACACAAATGCTAATTGACTTGTGCTGCTGCAATAATCCATGACTGTATACATACAGACAGCACTGTCTGCAGCCAAATGTACACATGCATCTGCAAGTGGAGGCAGGGATTTGAATTCATAACTTGGTCTTCACCTGGATTTAAAGAAGCATATTGCTATTCGTGGGCATCTTTAACCCGTTGAGGTAAATAGTAGCAGTGCATTTTCACTTTGGTGGCCAGAACGATAATATGCTCCCAGACAATCCCACTACTGGAAAAAATGCCACAGTTCCTGTACGGCTTTCTGGGTATCTGTGTAGATACTGGTGCTGTTCTACTGAACAGCTGACCCTGGTGTCAGACTTAACTCTCTCAGTGCCCCAGCTCATGGTGCTCTCCACGTACACATCACTATTTTTTTCCACGGCTTGTCTGAGGTGTCTAACAAGTGGAAATACAGTTTACAAGCATATTAAAACTATTTAAATTTGAGCGTGAAGTGAACTACTCCAAGCACCATTAACAACACTTAATAAAGAGAACATGCTCACAAATGTTCTAATGTATCAAATCCTTTTTGATACATTAATTTCTAAGCTTTCTAGCTAGTCTAATACTCCAATCTAATGTGACCCTGTAGGATTTAAACATGAACTTAGAAGGATGTTCAGTGCTTATACTTATTAATTTTATAACAAGGGATACAAAGGATGTATTTGCAAAAACTTTCTGAAGGACTGTATTAACCATATTCCCTTTCGAGGCAAGATAGCCTTACCTGCCACACCACCTGAATAAGAAAACCTGTAGTTACCTGAAACAATGATGAAATTAACTTGCACTTACTAGCTCTTATTGTCTTATGTGTGTGAATATCCCAAAGCATTTTCTATACTGTAAGGGTCAGTCAGTTTGTGGACACCAGCAAGAGTCAATGTGAAGCTGCATGAACTGATGCTAAGCTGCTCAGGACAAGCAGCAAGAATGCCATAGCTAACTGACACTGAAATTTATGAAGACAGAATTTAATTATCTAAAAAGGCCTGGGAAGGGGCAGTACTGCTACTCTTACGAAGAACCTGATCTGCCCCATACCGCTTTCAGCACAGTACACTTGACAGCTAGATACTTGTTAACTTCTTTTTATCTGTTGTGCTTCTGTGCATATGAATGATAGATCATCACAACAGAACTTCTTCAGTGTAAAGAAGCCCAGATTAGTCATAGAACCAAGGTGGTACCAGCTCATAAATACTCTTTTCATTAAGCGCATTTCAATTCATCTTTTAATTAATTAATAATTTCTAAATTACATACTTCCTGGTTCAAGTAGTGGATGGACTGAGCAGAGGTGAACTGTTGCTGGATCTAGCGCTCACCAAGGCAGAGGACATCATTAGAGGTGTTAAGATCGCAGGCAGCCTAGGCTGCAGCTATCACATCCTGGTTGAGTTTGCAATGCTGATGAACATGGGTCTAACAAAGATTGGGGTCAGGGCCCTGAACTTCAGCCTAAGGAATTGTTGGAGGCAGTCTCTTGGGAAGCTGTCCTTACAGACAAAGGAGTGGAAGAAAGCCGGCTGCTCTTTAAGGATGCCTTTCTGAGAACGTAAGAGCTCTCTGTCCCTCAGAATAAGAAAGCAGGCAGAGGAGGCAGGAAGCCCACATGGCTTGGCAAGGACTTGCTCTAAGAGACTGTACCAGCTGCAGAAACAAAGTCATGTCACCTGGAGAAAATACAGGGATGCTGTCAGGACTTGCAGAGAGGACATTAGGAAAGCCAAGGCACAGGTAGAACTGAATTTGGCAAGGGATGTTAAAAACAACAAGAAAGGATTCTATAGGTATGGGCCCAGAACAGGCAGGCCAAAGAGATCATACCTCCTTTGGTAAATGAGAAAGAAGAACTGGTTATAGCAGATTTGGAGAAGGCTGCGGTACTAAACGAGTTGTTTTTTTTTTTTCTCTTCAGTCTTCACTGACAGCCAGGATTCTCGTATTTCTCTCATCCAGAGGAGGGCCACAAAGATGATCCAAGGGCTGAAGCACCTCCCCTATAGGGACAGGCTGAGGGATCTGGGCTTGTTCAGCCTGGAGGAGAGAAGGCTCTGAGCAGACCTCGTTCCACCTTTCAGTATCTGAAGGGGATTATAGAAAGGAGGGGAATCAACTTTTTACTCAAGTACAGAGTGACAGGATAGAGGCAAATGACTTTAAGCTCAAGGAGAGAAGGTTTAAATTGGATGTCAGAGGGAAGTTCTTCAGAGGGAGAGTGAGGTGCTGGAACAGGCTGCCCAGATTTGTAGATGCTCTGTCCCTAGAGATGTTTAAGACCCCCATCCAAACAGGTTGGATGGGGCCCTGGGCAACCTGGTCTACTACCAAACCTGGAGGTTGGTGGCCATGCCTGTGGCACAAGGATTGGAACTTGATGATCCTTGGAGTTCCTTCCAACCCAAGCCATTCTATAACTATTAGCAGAAGTAAGGGATGAAAGAAGACAGAAAAGGGGAGAACTAATGGGGAAGAAGGAACTGCAAAAAGAAGAGAAATCAATTTTAATAATAGCTTGACAATTACAATTAAATAATCCAAAGCTCAAGCTGAGCATTTTTGTTACACCCTGCATGAATGATGTTTGTACTTTGGAACCCTTAAAATATTTAAGCAGAGAAGAAATGAAATGAACTGCAACCAGTTAAGGTCATCCATTTAGGATAAAATTGATAAAATATTAAAATGAAAGAAATAAATTTTCAAACAGAGATACTAAGGCTTCGTACAGATTTATTATTCAAAGCAGAGGAACATGCATGACCTCTAGGCCATTACATAATGGAGAAAGTGGATAGAGAAGTTCAAACAAGCAGGAACTGCAGGCTGCAAAGGCAAGAAGGGAAGACGGATTGAATATTCTAAAAGCCAGGGCTTTGCTTCCTGGGTACTCTGGCTGGGCCCCAGAATTAAAGCACTGCATTCTCACAGCTAGCTATCAGACCCAACTACTACACTGGGCTTGAAAACTCTGGAGCAATCACATATTTTTAATCACAAGGCTGATTTTGTGCCTAGCTGAGTTGTTAGTTCCCAATGGCTAGCGTTTAAAACAGGGGTGCTCTCAGACTGCTGAGTTTCAGAGCAGGGCCTTCTTTGGAATTGTGACTTCACCCTCACATTTTATAGAACAGCCTGAGGTCAGGACAGCACAGGCTGGCCAAGGCACAACGCATTATACTTCTCTCTTCCAGTGGGTAGCTCTGCTGGCTGACAGCCAGTCTCCTCCTTGCTCACCTCTGCCTTGTCAGAGCTTGAAGATGCCCAGTTCAGACTTCGGGCACCTTCAATGGAAATGGCCTTAACTCTCACAATAACTTTTCTTAAAAAAGATTTCAGACCAGAGTCAGTATTTATTACACAGGGTTTACTATACAACGCTGTTCTACAAAGTTGTCAGCTTTTCTGCGTATGAAGTATTTGGGATCAATCTTCCCTAGATGAAGAAGCAGCTCCTTGAAACAAGGATTATCTTCAAATATTTTTCAAATCTATTAAAGAGTACAGATTTTGTTCCTTGAAAAAACTGATATTCAACCTGAAGGCCCTTGCCTCTGAACCCAGAGTTCCGATGCAACTCCATCACTCTCCTGATGCAAAAGACACTCAATTCATATATCCAGAAGTGCTGCACCTAATATTAGTCTGTGAGAGGGATAGGCATTACAAAGGTGCCTATCACTTGCTATCATTAGGTGACATGATAGCAAAGCTTTTTCTGTGGATTAGCCTCCCTAATGGATATGCAGAAGCACCTAAAATATCAGGAAAATAAGCGTCACTGTTTGTGATCTTAAGTCCTCCTCTAATGTATTTGATCATCTTCCCATCCCTACTCAGCTGTAATTACTCCACATGGAAAATAAATCTTTGCATTTGCAGAGCAAGCACTTGCTTCAAAACCTCTAAGCTCCTTCCAAAATTAAGTATAAACATTATTAGCTTGATTTTATAGATTGTCCAAGTGGAAAGACAGGGACAGTTTAAAAATGAGGTGGAATCAAGGATGTCGACAGAAACTGTGGTGCTACTCCTCTATTCGTGGCACTGCAGCAGGCTTCTCTAATGACTTCTGGCAAGATGCTTACTTACCTCAGTGGAAAATGAGGATAATGAAATGGGTCTGACCTTTTGAAACGGTACGAACGCAGTCTTCACACAGCCTACAAAGGATGGAGATTTCACTGGAAGAACTGCGACAAGTTCTCAGCCGGGGCCTATATCTCAGGAGACAATAGATCCTAGAGGTCTCTC